CACCCGCCCCCTTACCTCCGGCCGCTGGACCTGAACCTGGGCCCGGGCTCCCCCAGTGCCTCCACGTGGAGAGTGGACTGGAGCGCCAAGGGGACCTGACCCCCTTTCTGGTGCCATTCCCCACCGCGGGGGTGGGCGGTGTGCACGGAGGGGGCGCGATCCCTCCACCATCCACCACAGCAGCCCTGAGACAGGGGAGAGGAGAATCCTTCCCTGCCACTTCACTCTGCCCTGGGGGCTGCTTTCTCAGCAGGACCAGGTGTCCCAGCGCAGAAGCCGGCTCCAGCGAAGGTGAGCACCTCTTCCCAACACACGCACCTCCGTCCAGCCGCCAGCCTTGGCCACAGCCATCCTGGAGGACTTGCAGCCAAAGCCCACTACGTACTATGTGGGGCAGTGTTGCCAGTTGGCACAGCTGGCTGCCTTTGCTTTCATCTTCCCCCTGGTCAGTTGGAGCTCCTTCACCCACTGTCCTGGACCTGGCTCTGGCCAGCGGTCACGAGCCAGTGGGCAGCATGGGACGGCAGGGCCTGAGGACTCCTGAGTCCCCACCAGGTTCACAGTATCTACTGAGTTAGGCAGGTGGGAAGGAAAAGGAAGCAACCTCCATCCCTCCTCAGACAAGAATAGATGGGCTGGAGGCTTGAGAGCCTCCAAGGCAGTGCTTCCCGAAGTGTTGGGGCAGCATTACCCGGGAACTGGTTAGAAATGCACGTTCTCAGGCATCCACTCCAGGCCTACTGAGTCTCTGGGGATGGGGTCCAACACCTGTTTTAACAAGCCCTCCAGGTGATTCTGACACACCCCTGTCCTAAGGGCTACGATGGGCCATAATGGTTTCCCTGCTCCCCTGCCAGGCAGAGCTTTGCAGTACTCGGCGGGGCTGTCCTGGGACTGCAGGATGGAGGCGATGATGGAGATGCAGCCAAGGCCAGCTCTGAGCCAGTGGAGGAACCCCCCGGGGAGGAGCAGCCCCACGGGGACCAGACAGACGACGGGCATGGGCCCCAGAGTCTCAGGAAGCAGGAACAGAGTCAGCACCTGCGCCTCATGGTGGGGCTGCTAAGGCCACAAGACGACATCCGCCTGGTGAGGGCCCCGTCCAGAGCCCTCTGGCCCTCTGAAAGGGGAGAGAGCCACTCCCCAGGTGGGAGGAGAGGGTGGAATGGGGCCAGTGTGTGTGTGTTTGGGGAGCAGTGGTGTGAGAGCAGGGGGCCCCCTGGGGAGCGTAGCGGTTACCCAAACCCCGATGACTCTGCTGTTCAGCTAGAGTTGTCTTAACAGGGCGATCCGGCCATGTCTTCGGGTCTCTGGAGAGCTGGGAAAGGATGGGGAGGTTTGTCCGATGTGAGCCTGTAGGGTCAGATTAGGTCCAAGAGCTGGAAGTTACCCAGAGGCGGGTTTCTGTTCAACCAACACAAGACCTTCCTGACTATGTGAGTTGCCCACAAATGAACTGGTGCTCAGGGGGGCCTGCTGAGCACCCACCGTGGGCTCGTGTGCTGGAGGGGCCCATGCGGGAATGGGACACAGGCGGGAAAATGAGGACCAGTTCCCAGATGCCTGTGGAACAATCTCACTGTCTGCAGCAAAATGGGAAAAACAAGATGCAGTCAGTTTTTTGTAAGGCAGAATTAATTCCACAGAAGCACCATCCTTTATTGTGAAACTGTGTCCTTAATATTTCTTTGGTGAAAAACATTCCTTGAATCAAATTATGGTAATGGCGAGTGGAAAAGTGTTTCTTAAACCTCCTTCCTAGGCAGAAAAAAAAAGGGGGGGAATCTGTCATGCCCATTCTCCCCTTTATTTCACACACACCCTCTCTGAGAAGAATCTTTCTAAACATTTTATTGGACCATGAGATCCCAAAGTTGGGAACCACTAGATTGTAACCACTGATCTGGTATCTGGGAAGAGAGGGATGGGTGCAGAGGGAGCAGGTGGCAGCTGTGTGTCAGGTGGGGGTTGGGGAGCGGGTCCTCTGGGCCACTGTGACCCTGGGCTTTTCCCTTCCCATCTTCCCCAGGCAGCCCAGCTGGAGGCGGCCCGGCCCGCCAGGCTCCGATACCTGCTGGTAGTTTCCACAAGAGAACATCTGAGCCAGGATGAGACAGTCCTTCTGGGCGTGGATTTCCCTGATAGCAGGTGGGAGCAGGGAGAGGAAGGGAGGAGGACAAGGAAGTGAGGTGCTGGGCGACAACAGCTTTCCCTCTGTCCCTGCCAGCTCCCCCAGCTCCCCCAGCTGCACCCTAGGCCTGGTCTTGCCTCTCTGGAGTGACACCCAGGTGTACTTAGATGGAGACGGGTAAGAGGTGGCAACTGGAGGGAAGGGAAAGGAGAGGGGCCAGAGAGTGGAATAACTAAGTGTGATGTATGGGGGGGCAGGGGTGCAGGGGTGTGGTGGGTACTGGGGAGCAACTGCAGAACTCTAGGTTGGGCCTACTCTCAGCTCCACTTGAGATGCACTGTGTGATCCTGGGCAAGTCACCTAACTGCTCTGGGCCTCAGCTGCCCCATATCTGGCAAACAGGGCTTATTTTGAAGTTTAGATGATGTGTATATATTTTGAGGACCAGCCTTAGGTGGCTAGTGGGTAGGCCTCTCAGGTGGCCCTGTCCCAGAGCCAGGGGCTGGGTTCCACCCCCACCTGATCTCCCACAGGGGCTTCAGTGTGACATCTGGTGGGCAGAGTCGAATCTTCAAGCCAGTCTGCATCCAGACCATGTGGTAAGGGGCTGGGTCTTGAAGATGGCTCAGGGTCTGGGTAGGGGCAGCAGGGAGGACAGCGTGACCCAGCCTCTCCTCTGTCCCAGGGCCACGCTCCAGGTGTTGCACCAGGCATGTGAGGCGGCTCTAGGCAGTGGTCTTGTGCCAGGGGGCAGTGCCCTCGCCTGGGCCGGCCACTACCAGGACAGACTGAGCTCTGACCAGAGCTGCCTCAACGAGTGGATGGCCATGGCTGACCTGGAGTCTCTGCGGCCTCCCAGCATCGAGCCCGGCCGGTCAGTACAGGGAGGGCAGGAGAGGGGGCTGTGCCATGGCAGAGCGGGGAAGGGCCCTGGACTGATGGGCTCGGTTCCCAGGCCCTCGGGACCGGAGCAGATGGAGCAGGCCATCCGGGCTGAGCTGTGGGAGGTGTTGGACTCCAGTGACCTGGAGAGCATCACTTCCAAAGAGGTGGGCAGGGTGCCGGGGACCAGGGCGGGAGCAGGGCCCTGGTTGCGGGGGCCTCCGGCTGGGCCCCAGAGTGGTCCTCTCCTTGGAGCCTCCCACTTTAGCTTTCCTCCTGTCTGAGCTGTTCCCACGTGCCTGGCCTCAGCTTCTCTGCCTTGATGGGACAGAGTATTGTCCTCAGAGGCCCTTCCCCCCCGCCCCAGGGAAGGCGCCCCCAGCCTCTTCTCACCCTCCTGCCTGCAGATCCGCCAGGCCCTGGAGCTGCGCCTGGGATGCCCTCTCCAACAATACCGCGACTTCATCGACAACCAGATGCTGC